AGTACAACTGGAACCTCATAGTTGCAAGAATACTTTTCCTGGAGTGTCTGCATCAGAGTGCCTCCATGTGCGCTTCGCGCACATGAAGGCTCCCTGGTTTGCACCTTTCTGATAATATGATCGGTCTCCATAAATTGCACTTCCCCGCTTCGGGTGCACGGCCAGCGGCGGTTCTCTGTCGGCTATCGAACCTCACACACGTGAAGCGTTGTCAAAGCTGTGATATACCGGGCGTTTTATTATTATGTTTTTTTTTGTTTGTTTTTTTTGCTGAAAGAAATTATACTTTTGGTATTCCCGGCGATAACATTATCGGCTGCGGCGGACGTAAAGGAACGAGCGTAAATTGACAGTTAGTGGCCTAATAAACTAAAATTTGCCATTAGCGAACGCTGGAGAGGGGGCGACCTCCTCTCCCCCGTTCGCTCCGCTGAAGTGGAACAGGGTGGGAGGAGCTCCCACTTCGTTCTTGACCTGTCACCGACTACAGTTCCGAATTCCACTTGTCATTTTGGAGCGATGACGAGATAGAGCTGAGTCATGTATTGCGTTCTCTGAGATGAAGAACGCAATGCGCGCGGAGTTGCTACACGTATGCACCAGTCACCAGTAAAAACGACCTGTCCTCCGAGGAGGTCGAGCGAGACGCCGGCGGACATGGGGGTCGGTCACCTCACCGTCACCACCGTCTACCGTGCCTTCAAAAACACGGGGCGCAATGTGTTTCTGCAGTATAACAAAAAATTAAACAAACAAGGTGCAAACTTTCATTTTTTCCCTAAGTCTGGTTTGCAGGGCTCAACAGAATACAAAAACGATACGCCGTGCTGGGATGACGTCGACTACAATGGTACACGATCATAACAAGAGCACAAATCCTGCCACATTATTTTGCTACTGAGTGATAAGAGCATATACATCTTTGTCCGCGATGCAGCAACAGAGACATTATTTCCAAATTAGAGTTCGAAGTTAGCCTTCGATGCTAGCACTGACCAACTCACTTCACTCACAGGGTGAAAACATGAAACTTCGTATCATTCGGACAGAGATCAAAAAATAACACGCACCGCTTCAACTTGGACACCCCAAAATAATTAACTTTAGTGGATCGCACGCAAAAGCTTCGCGTACGCAATAAAATTGCCGGTCAAAAGTACGGTTCCGCAACCAAAATCAGCATATGAGTCATCAAATTATGAAGAAAAAGCAGGTGTGAGCGTGCCAAAAATATTCGACATTTATTGTTGTCAATATTTGTTTTTCTATCCCCGTGCTTATGCCGCAGTGGAAAGCCTTGAAACTCCCTATAAAATTATTTTGGGCAGTGTTTCCCACGGTGCTCGCTCGATCGTAAAATGCCGCTTTGTTGCTACTTTGGCGAATCAAACAAGGAAGCCACGTTCATCTACAATGCCCTGTCCACAAGAAGGGAAATCGAAATTTTCGCTTCGTTTTCTTTTTTTTTAATATTCTTCTCTTCTGCACGATATTCGCGAATACAGCTCGTTGCTCGCCCTCTCGCGGCGAAAATCGAAACCGGCCTAATGAGGGTCCACCCCCCCCCCCCCCCCCCCCCAATCCCCGCCGCTCCCGGGAAGATGCTATGGCGGATCAAAGTGGAACTCTCGATAGTGGCTCAGAAGTTGCCGTTTCCAAATGCAAACGACACTGTTCTGTGCCTCAGTGCACTGCTGCGGCGTGGAAGAACGATGCTTTCTCGTTTCACCGCTTTCCAAGCGCCAAGGAAACGTGCCGCAGGGGCGCGGACGTCGTGAACCGACGTGAGGAGTGGGTGCGCCTCCTTCGGATCGGAAAGACGGTGACCGATACAATGACTGTGTGCTCGCGGCATTTTTTACCGGGAGACTTCTTCCTTCCAGGTAAGTGTGCGAATTTGTCGTGCTTCATATTTATCTTGCGTGACGGCGTCATAGGTTAGGCTGAACCGCGACGAGACGGGTACGGCGAAGAGGGTCAGCGACGAGCGGCGGCTGAACCGTATGTAAGTGATTTAGCGAGCGATGAGACGAGCGACGTAGATCTACGTCGCTCGGTTTTTGGATTTCTAGAAAACTTCACTCATCGCCTTGGTCGCTTGCTCCCATTGCTTTCGTGCGGTACGCCTCGTCGCGTTACTGACCGAGTGACAGCGAAGGGGGTCGCCTTCGCTTGTCTCGTCGCTCGCCAAATCGCTTGCATGCTCGTCACGTCTCTCGGTTTTTGTATCTAGAAAACGACTGTCATCGCTTTGGTCGCATGCTCCCGTCGCTTCCATGCGGCGGGAGCGACTGGCCGTCGTCGCCCTCGTCGCCGTCGCTTGTCTCGTAGCTCGCGAAAACGTGCGGTCGAAGAAACTTGTACGGCGACGAGCGCAAGCGATGGGTTCCGAAATCCCGATTGTCAATCTCAAATATTTTGAGCATTTCGGTGGCGCTGGGCGCTTCAGTATTACCGCTAGGGTAAGAAAATTTACCGAAAATTTTCGGATAAGTACGGTTTGAGGGCGTGTGAACGAAATTGATACAAAGTGGGTGTGCGCTCATGCAGCCTGAAGCAGTCTTTAGGTGAAAAGGCTTGACGTCCAAATGGGCAATCTTAATGTTGAACTGTGAATTTAACAAGCCAAGAATGTTGCAGCTTCAGTAGCACAATATTCCCTCGATATGTTCAGTGCAACCAACCGACTTATTTACAGTAGATGGCGTGAACTTTAAAAGTCTATGTTTGTTTGCTTTTTAAACTGACCCGTTAGTTTAAAGAATCTAGATCTCCTAATGAAACGTTGGCACGCTGCTCTAAGGTTTACCAAAAGCTCCCTCTTGACATTCTTCTGCCAGCTTCCCTCCCCTTGGTGTTTTGTTTGACCAGTCAGTCCTTCGTATTAATTGCCAGATTTACCATTACAAAATTTTGTAATCTTTATTTATTTCTGCCAGAGCATGGAAGTCAAAGGCGCCGCCTTAAGAGAGGAGTGGTGCCATCCCAAAACTTGCCCGTCCTCTCAACGGAGAATCGGGAAAAGAAGAGGCAAGCCAAGGATCGAGACGACAGCCGCCAGGAGCGGCGCAAGAAGAGGGCAGCAGTAAAGCCTTTGGTAGCCAAGGTATATCCATGTCAGATATTGAATTTGCATGCCTGTTTCACCCCAAGTTGTTTCTTCTGCTCAGTTTACTTTCATAGTCTTGCATATGACGGCACCTCTCTTTCAGACTGGTGGTCACACACCACATGTGAGGCACGTAGCCAGGATCTACGTGCCTGCCACATGTATTATGGTCAGTGATTGGTTAAGAACTCAGTAGATGCTCCACCCCACAGGTGCAATGTGCCCATTGCAAGTGCCTCCGCTGTTGAAAAGTAGTGCGAGCAAAGGGAGCGAAGCACGCTATTAATCGAGCAGAATGTCATTGCCGCAAGGTGGCAAAAGTAACTGCATCATTCACATGATGCAAAGTGCCTAAAGATTTCCTACCAGTGTCATCGAGGTTGACTGTAGGCCACAATTGTTACTAACCGCTGCTTACCTGATTTACCATCCCACTTATCACAACAATGAGGCCTTGCAAAGGGGCTAAGTTTGCGGAAAAATAAATACCGCTTTGAAGGCATTGTTACGGAGCATTCTACATTTATTAAATCGAACAGGGGAGCAAAAGAAGTTTGGTAAGCCAGCAAGACGGTGCTGGCTTATTTTTGTTCTGCTGACACCAGCATGGCGGTAGTGTCACGAGGCGGATGCAGGAATTTCCAGAGGGGAGGGGCGGGGGGGGGGGGGTCAGGTGTTGGACTGCGTACCATATGTTGAGGAACCCCCCCCACCCCTTCGTTTCCACGCCCTAAATTTTACACATGCAGAAATCAAGATGGGGGTCCGGACATCCGGACCCCCCCCCCCCTCTAAATGAGTGTCTCACGCAGCACATCGCATCAACAGTGGAGACCGCAGCGTTTTTTCTCGGCACGCCACAGAAACCATCGTACAGAAATGCACACACTGCGACAATTTTGCGACATACTTGTCTCAGGGCGAAGACTGAACGGACGAAGAGAAGCCACCGGCACGGACGAAGGTTCTGCTGGTCTTGACCGACATCACTTAAAAGACAAGGCAGTGGTGCTAACACTTATGCGTCACCAGCGTAGGCCAACACTGGACACATTAGAAACAAGTGCTGCGTCAGCGCTCAGCTTAGAGTCAAGTTTGAGCCAAATGTTGACGCAATTGTCGTGTCCAATCTGTGCCCAGCGTTGGCCTTCTCTGATGACATCTCTATCAGCACTACGGCTTTATCTAGGAGGTGTTCTCTCGGTGGGCATGGCTTACATGACTGTCTGAGCAAGGGAACTAAACACTTCAACTGCGACATCAGCAGCGTAGCCAGGGGGGAGGCTTATGAGACTTTAGCCCCCCTCCACCCCAAAAAAAATCCAGCCAGTTGTATAATATAGACAGGCATTTTCACTCCCCTCCCCCTCCGCTGCACCCCAAGTCATAAACATCCACGTGACCATTGAAGTCTCACATCGTCACACAGAAACTACCGCACGCTAAAGCAGATACCAGTACAATGCTGAAGTAAAAGGCAGAATAATCACTTGCAGAAACTGGCACCCTCGGCAAAGCCAATGTTCAAAACAATGTGCACTATGTTGAAAAGGTTTGTTTCGTGATGTGAGAAAATGAGGGGAAACGATTGGCTGGCAGAGAGATATGAATTCCTCTGAGTGACTTTTTCTGCTGAGTTCTTAGCTTGACACAAACTATGTCTTCACACCACTGACACTAAAGTTGGTTACAAATGCTTGAACTTTGTCCTAGGTTGCACTTTGCGAAGCAGAAACGCATTCTGACCAAGAGGACGGCGCAAGTTTCGCTGAAGAGGAAGATGCTCCTCTACAATCTCCAGTGCTGTTGGAGAGACCTCGCCCATCCCCAGTAGTTCTCCTCGACCAAGGCGCACAAGTGTCAAGTGGAGACTTTGGGGAGAACTTTTCTCGCATGGTCAATCAAGGAAATGTGTGTTCTTTCACTGGCCTCCCCAACATGGAGCTTCTCAATGCTTTGGAGAAGCTCATGTCTGAAAAGATGCCCACATCATCAAGAGCTGTACTGCCAGCGAGAGACAGAATAATCTTGACCATGATGGCTTTCAAGCATGCTCTGACATTTCATTTTCTTTCTAATGTGTTTGGTGTGTCCCCATCCACGGTAAGCACCACTGTGAAGCAGACAACAAAGGTCCTTGCAGAATTCTTGAAATGCGCAATAACTTGGCCCTCTAAGGACGAGGTTTTGCACAACATGCCGACGTGTTTCGAGAAGTTTTCTCACGTCCGCATTGTGCTGGACTGTACCGAAATCCCTGTTGGGAGGCCAAAGTGCCTGAAATGTCGAATAAGCACGTATTCGCACTACAAAAAGGGACACACCGTAAAGTTCATGATAGGTGTTTCACCCGGTGGCTTGATTACGTACCTAAGTAGTGGTTACGGAGGGCGGGCCTCAGACAAGGTAATCTTCGACCAGAGTGGTTTAGTTGATAAGTTGTTGCCTGGCATCGACCACATCATGGTTGACAAAGGTTTTCTTATAGACGCCACATGCGAATCGAGGCTTATAGCTGTAGTGAGGCCCCCCTTCCTGCATGCCAAAAAGCAGTTGACCAAGGCTGAAGCTCTTGCCACTAAGCATATAGCTGCGGCAAGAGTTCACGTGGAAAGGGTCATTCAAAGAATTAAGCTATTGAAGATGGTGTCCCAGAAGATGCCCTGGAACATGGTGCCACTAGCTGATGACATGCTCAGTATTGCATGTGGCTTAGCCAATTTATCCCCTTCTGTTCTGGCGGATAACAAGTTCATGTAGGAGTTTTTTTTTTTTAGGCCACGAGGTTTGAATACAATATTGTTAGAATTCAGAGGGTTTTTTTTTTTTTTTTTCAGTTCCAATTTTGTTTGTAACCACCAAAAGAGACTCTTTCCAAACCCTTATTACAAAAAAAGGGTAACCTATCTCTAATAATAGTGAGCACATATAGAATTTTTGGGCATCTTGTGTGCTTCATGGTTTTATTTTAATGCAATCCTTCTTCGTTTTTTTTTATGCTTGTATGTGTGTGTGTTTATGTTTTTCAGTGAAATTTAATGAGTGATGCTCATATTATTACAAAGATTCCGATGGATGGAAATCTTGGAGTAGCAGCCTCAAACCTAGTAGTATCTCAGAAATGCAAGTTCTTGAATGAAACATGAGCTGTTACTATCCCTTTTATTGTCAATAAAATATTGCACATACCCACATCATTCACAATAGTTTTCATTCACAACAGACACATAGGTTGATCTAGGAGCTTATTGGCCCAAAAGTTACAATTTTCACATTTAACAAACATGAAGATGTCTCATACATAAGCCGAGGCTCTACAAATACCAGAATTTGTACTCCAGTGAAGTTAACCAGAATAAATATTGATAAATAATTTAAATAAAATGCACAGAATCCTGAAAGCTTAAAACATACACAATGATGCGGTGCTCATCCAGATTGAAACGAATAGAGGAGGGGACTAACTTTAGTGTCCCTGGTTTCCGCAGCACAAGCTTTCGCTCCACATGCACCAAGCTGTAGTGCGTTAACACACTCGGCCACTCATTGTGTGCAAACAATAAATAAGTAACAATAAAGTTATTTCGAAATAATACAAAAATGCAATACAACATCAAAAAGCCTAACCAGAAAAGCAGCGATACGGTTGCGCTGCAGTTGTGCGCCGGGCTGCTAGATTCCACGTAGTCCCATGCTCCCGCTAACTGTAATTAAAATATTGCACGCTTTCACAACTCCCCCCAGGCAACAAACCCGAAGTACTGAATGCACGATGTCGCCTAAAGAAGGCCAATGAGTGCTTGTATCAGTGGTCCCGGCCAAATGCTGTCCTCGTGTCCAATCTGTGCCTGGCGTTGACCTTCTTTAGGCGACGTCATACATTCAGCACTTCAAATTTGTTGTCTAGGAGATGATCATTGCTGGGCAGTTCACCACATGGTCATGTGGCAAGCCACTGTTGGTCAAAGATAATGCAGTGTTTGCTTAACTAAACATCTGCTGTTGAGCACAAAATCGGCAGCACATGCGTAAAGTACAGATCCTTCACTTTCGTGAGCAGCGGCAAGGTAAAGGCTTCATCAAAGTCCACACTAATGACTTCGATGGATTCATCTTTGTCGGCATAAATCACCATGTCGCACTTCCTCACGTCCAGAAGCACCATTCCAAGTTGCATCTGGGCATAGTAGGTGTGGCGTTGCTTTGGCATGTAATTGCCTGCCTCATCACAATCCAGAAAGTCGCAGGCTGCCAGAACTGCTTTTGCAGTTACAGTTTGTCCCTTCGTAGGGCATTTGATTTCCACTAACTTTGTTGGTCTTCCTCCCTCGAACACAACTCCGTCCGGGGAGCAGCCTAGCCAGGGGTTTTTTGGCGAGACAAGGAGGCCACAAGTAAAAACCTCTACTTGGCTCTCAGTCTCGTACTTCTTTCGTGCCTTCGGTTCGCAGCGCTGGCCGTAGGCAGTTGAAGCGTTGCCACGGAATGACGGCTGCATTAAGGAGGGAACTTTCTTGTTCCAGTCTCCCAGCTTGTAAGTGTAGAGCGGGTAGCATGTTGTCCCTGCAATAAGACCGGACAAACAGATTGTCTTAGGTTTTCATTTCAGTGAACACAGTGCAGAACAAATTGGAATCTGCCTTGCCTGAAAGTTGTACCACAAGCAACAACAGTTTAAATCCAATAGTTGGTCTTCTGAGATTGTTCATGCAGCATAACAGCATCCCATTCCGCTTATCTCATCAGTGAGTTGGTTTGAAAGAAAATAACTACTTTTCTATCCCGGCATGATTTACGAAACACTTCATACTGGTGGTTTAGTCAGAGACTGTCACATTGTGCACGAGTAGATAGAATAGAAAATAAAGCAGGCAACTTTTTAACTTCCACGCACTGTGAACCTTAGACAAGAAATTACAACAAGCCTGTTTTGACTTCTCTGTTTCTTCGGTTCACAGACTTCGAAATAATGAGGGTATGACTACTGACAGGTTGCCTTTCAATATGTTATCTGACCAGGTTGACTTTCAATATGTTACCTGAGCACTAGTGAGAAATGAAAAACAAAAATTACACTTCCAAATGAAACTTGTGCAAAAAAAAGAAAAAGAACCTGCCTAAATCAGATGCACAACTCTTGTGTTGACAATTTAGTTAAAACTTGTTGTCGGCCTAGTTGGTTCATGATGCAGTCTAGAGGGTTTTTTGCGCGACACAAGGGACAATCACAAGCGAGTAGACACGGACAAGCGCAAACTTTCAACTAGTTTATTCGTGCTCGATCGACCACGAAACTTCAGAAAGAGCATGCGCAGCACGCTACACAGAAGAAAAAACGAAACGAGAAACAGATAGAAAAGTCACCTACCAAGACACATTGCACGATAGTCATTATCTAACCAGCAATCCGGATAAAAACTGCACTTCACTTTCAAACAAAGAAACCGAGGTATCGCTAACACAGTCGGGTCCCTTCTTTATATAAAAAGCTTCCATCAATTCTCTGGCTGTTATATCTTTGCTTCTGCCCAAGATCCTGATCTCTTGAAATCACGCCTCACACCCACAGTCGGCACAGTGAGTTGGCAAGTGTGAATTGCCTTTATTCTTGATTGACAATTCATGTTCCCGTGCGCGGTCATTAACGCAGCGTCCAGTTTGACCAATATACACTTTCCCACGCGAGAGCGGAATCTCGCATTCCACCGCTGTGGCACAATCCCCAAACGATCAGGCGTGCTTTTTGTTGCAGCCACTCGTCTTCTCTCTTCCCGAGGAAATCCTTGGACAAAGGCCCGCAAGCTTGCGTGGCACAGAGAACACGAAAGGTACATTGTACCTGTTCGCTACCTTCTTCAGGTTGTGGGACACTTTATGTATGTACGGGACCACTTCTGGTCTACAGTCCCTTTGTGGCGGCTCTGGCCGCGTCCTTTGCTCTTCTTTGGTCTTCTGGAGCAACGTCTCGGCAACCGCCGTAATGACCGAGCAGGGGAAACCAGCAGACTTCAGTCTGGCTACCTGATCATCAAAGCTTCTGTGCATAGAGTGTGGGCACGACTTCCTGAGGGCGGACCCTAAGCAGAGGGAGGCGATGGCTCGCTTAACAGTTTCCGAGTGAGCCGAGTCATACGACAGCAGCCTCTTCTGTGCTCGAGGGTTATAATACCAGCATAAATTATTACTTTTTAACATCAGTTTTATATCCAGGAACTGGAGTGAGTCAGGGGTTGGAAGCTCATGTGTAAAGGACAGGCCCAACCCATGAACTCTAAAAGCGGTTAAAATCTCATCTACAGAGTCGTCATAACTAAGCAGGTGTTGTTTTTTTAAAAGGATTAAAAAGTCGTCAACGTATCTAAAAACCTTCAAGACACCGCCATCGACAAAGCTTTTAGAGTTCATGGGTTTAGAAGCTTTAGAGTTCAGAAGACGAAAGAAAAGCAAAGGACGCGGCCAGAGCCGCCACAAAGGGACTGTAGACCAGAAGTGGTCCTGTACATACATAAAGTGTCCCACAACCTGAAGAAGGTAGCGAATAGGTACAATGTACCTTTCGTGTTCTCTGTGCCACGCAAGCTTGCGGGCCTTTGTCCGAGGATTTCCTCGGGAAGAGAGAAGACGAGTAGCTGCAACAAAAAGCACGCCCGACCGTTTGTGGATTGTGCCACAGCGGTGGTATACGAGATTCCGCTCTCGTGTGGGAAAGTGTATATTGGTCAAACTGGACGCTGCGTTAATGACCGCGCACGGGAACATGAATTGTCAATCAAGAATAAAGGCAATTAACACTTGCCAACTCACTGTGCCGACTGTGGGTGTGAGGCGCGATTTCAGGAGATCAGAATCTTGGGCAGAAGCAAAGATAGAACAGCCAGAAAATTGATGGAAGCTTTTTATATGAAGAAGGGACCCGACTGTGTTAGCGATACCTCGGTTTCTTTGTTTGAAAGTGAAGTGTAGTTTTTATCCGGATTGCTGGTTAGATAATGACTATCGTGCAATGTGTCTTGGTAGGTGACTTTTCTATCTGTTTTCCGTTTCCTTTTTTCTTCTGTGTAGCGTGCTGCGCATGCTCTTTCTGAAGTTTCGTGGTCGATCGAGCACGAATAAACTAGTTGAAAGTTTGCGCTTGTACGTGTCTACTCGCTTGTGATTGTCCCTTGTGTCGTGCAAAAGCCCTCTAGACTGTTGACAATTTCTCTGGAGTTTCTGTTGTGCTGAGGACGTGCGCTCACCACAGGCTAGCAGGTAACAGAACTTTTTGACCAAGAAACATTTGTCATAAAGCAACCTGTCTTTTGTACAATTGGTCACATTGTGAGTGCAAGGATTCTTAGTAACCTATAAAATGTGCTTTTAAGCAGGAGATACACGTGCACAAACACCAACTGGTGTCGATGAGACACATCACACGATGATAGTCGCAGAACAAGGGCTTCATACATGAAGACAGACACATTTCTAGACTGCACACCAATTTCTTGTGAGCTGTGACTACAGTGCAGCAAGCGCAAAAACAAATTTGGAGGTTTTACATACTAAACTAACAAAGGGCATCTGGTATGCTCTAGAGGAGGGGTAAGGATAAATTTTGGCCACCTGGGGATCTTTTGTCAGGCAACCGCAATCTTGGCTACAATGCACCTTTTGCGCTGTAAGCCTCTGTCCGATTGCAAGCACCTTGGCTTGGATTTGAAAATCCAAGCAACTGTGGATCCGTGGGCCGGTGCAGAGCTGTATATGGGGAGAGTTTGACCAGTCTATGATCTCGCCGCCGGAACGCGCCCCTCCCAAGTGAGCTAATCAGCCCGCGGCACAGAGCGAGAGGCGTGAGCACATGCGCGTGAACTCCCGGCTGTTCCCAGCTGAGCGGGAGTGCCGCCATTTTTACTCCTTCGCCTGGCTGAATGCATGGGATCGACATACAAATTTCGGTTCTTTCCTTTTATTTAGCAGGCTCTGTCAAGAAAATGATATAGTGTTATTCCTTTGTGGCTCAAAAAGCTAGCAAATTAGGTTTCTCCACGTTTGAACGCTAACTTCTATTCAGGCGAAAAAGAAATAAGCCCGTAGCAGACGACGCATAGCCTCAACAGTGCTCGGTGCCGACAGCGTTGCGTCAAAATGGCAGTCATTTCCTCTTCGTTCCCTTCTTTCTCTCACTCCTTTGGCGCTCTCCTCCCTTTCCTTCACTTTTCCCCTCTCCAGCGGCTTCGTCGCCACACCCACTGGCCAAACTCTCCCAATATACGGCTCTGGGCCGGTGCTTTGCTTCACAGCCACATGGTCGGCGAGTGCACCAAGCACCACTTGCTATGTTAATCAATATCACTGCATGGTAATGACATGTTGAATGAATAGATAAAAAATAGAAGGGCTCAAATAGCAAAAGCATGATCTGGCTCAATAAAGCAGAAATATTTTTTTTATATGTTTATAGCAGCAAGTGAAGGAAAGTGTGACTGAAGTTTCATTAAACAAAATGGTATATACAGTCGTAGACAATGTAAACTGAAACGACTGAGCAATGATCAAAAGATACTGGTGGCATTGCCCCGGCGAACAAAGTTTAAAAAGGCAACTCCGCTTCATTTTTGTTGTTGAAAAAACAATGCAGTCCTCTTCCGTATCATCTAGGAAGACCAGATATAAAATATTACGACCTAGTTCTGTCTAAATGTTTCTTAAACGGTCCGGAAAACTTTGCAACTCGCCAAGTTGCCGAAATCAGCTGACTCTAGCGGGCGAATTGAGGCGCAACCAACAGCGCAGTCAAGGCTATGGCATTGCGAACATTAAGCTCCACCTCATGACCATTCTGTTTGTTTGACCATGACCATTGTTTGTTTTTTTTTTGTTTTTTTTCTTCTCCGGGCAGGCGTAACAGGTGACGTCAGCAAAATTTCTTCTCTGCGCTCAACAGTGCCCGCATGACTGGCATAATGCACCTGCGCAGTGAGCTTCTTGGGAGCCGTCTCGCCGTTACCACAGTCTCCCGCTTCTCGACCACTGCTGTCGAAGTCTCAATGTTTGTGATTATTGTCTCAGAGTTTCATTCACACTAAGTGTGCAGACTGATGCTGCAGTTGTGCAGTCGTCGTCTAATGTCGTAGACACCAAAACGTGGTGAAGACAGCAGTGCACACGACACTTAGCGGCGATTGTACCGTTGGGACAGGCGATTGCACATGCCTGCCCCTACAATGGCTTGCCCCGATTCCGCCCATAGTTGCGTAGAGCATCGCGTGACATCTCGTACAACGTGATAGCCATGTCTTTGGTGGCCCGAGGCTAATGCTGCCAGATGGAGTCGAAGTTTCGGTTTCAGCTTACGTTTAAAGTAAGATTTAACAATACATATATCATTTTTCGCGAAGCCAATGACGTGGTGTCTTTTATTCGTGCTTTTTAATGTGAAATCACTCATTATCCCAAAACTTTTGGAATTGAGTGGAGTTGCCCTTTAACTGTCAACCAGAGACAGCATGCGGATGAGATTGCAGTGTGTGGTAAGCACTGTGAGGTACTCTGCCCGTTTTTTTTCTGCATTTTAGGGCCACTTTAATGTGATTTACCTTTAGTCTTTGCTACCGCTTACCCACACTTGTTGCGACCTTCATTATCTGGGCGCGTGGCTCCTGCATCAGTCAAATAATTTCTCTGATGTCTCAACAGGCAAAAGGGAGGAGTCAGATAACATGCCATTGCAATCCCTCATTACTAGTTCAATTTCTTGAGTTAGGGCAGTGCTAATAGTACCATTAGGTCGGTACTCTGCCATTTCAGCTTACCTTGCCCGTGACTGTACAAAAAATCCTAGAGACAACCCAAAGGAGAACAGAGTCACATAGCTTTATAACTGTGATGAATGGTGCATGGCTTGCGAAATATAAGCTCACATAAGCTTGCAAAATTGTACTGTACCAAGATGGCATCATGTCAAGAAGTGGAGCTCGTGAATTGCAGGTGGGCTGGCAGTGTATGCAGCTGACAACTGAGGTGCACCACTTTTCTCAAACAGACACCCAAGTCGTGGAAAGTTGTCGCATCACATGTGCTGATTTGACAACCTAATTAAGATTTGCCCAGCCAACACTGACGTGTCTTTTCAATAACAATGTCCAAGAATGCAGGCAGCATGCACTGGTTGGCCTATAACTGCACAATTTCATACAAAATCTTTGCTCTCAACCATCCTTGCAGACCTTGTATTGGTTTTTGCCAGGTTGACCTAAGTAGAACAAAACATTGCTTTGAGACAAACTAGCCGTTATTGTACGACATTTTTTTCTTCTAAATCACCCTATGACAAATGTGCTGTGACAAAGGGGCCTGTTGCCAGTTGGTCTACAAAATAAATTGACTTAAGAAAGACAGTATCCTGTTTCTGTCTTAACTTTGGTACATAGGGAAAGAAATTACTGCCGGCAAGTTAACTGGCCACAAATACATTACTACGGTCATTAGTACACAAGTCACTTGCCTGTAACCCGGCATCGTCGTTGCAGCATCCAGGCGGCTTTGTTGTCTCTGGTGTCGTGCAGCATGACAGTAGCTACATCAACGGGGACCACCACCTCCTTCTCGTAGAAGGAAGAGCAGCCTTCAGGAAGACATGCCGGAATCTCCGCAAGCCTCGCCAACACATTGCTGCCCTCGCAGCATTGTATGATGTGCCGGTATCTCTCATCCAAGCTCGGAGGTTCCGGGGCACTGGACAGAGCACCCATGGAGATTTACTTTTATGAACAAGATAACATGTTGTTTCATGACTGCAGCCGTGTTTACATGGATGCGACTTTAGCGCGTCGACTCCAGTCATTCTTCGAATAAAGCCGATGCGGCAACGTTTACATGAATGCTCACCAAGCCCTACGTGGAGGTAGCGTCACGCCGTGTCAAAGCTCAAAGTTAAAGCTATGCTTCTGGCACCAGCCGCCATGGGTGTACCAACCGGGGGGGCAAAGTATGTGTTTTGCCCCCCCCCCCCCCCCTGAAACAGCCGTCACTGGGCAGGGCAAACACTGACCGGCGGCGCCCGAGGGATACCAAAGGCACCGCCGCCTGGCCCTGGGGGGGGGGTCTGGTTTGCCAGTTGGTACACCACTGCCAGCCGCACCAGGTGACCACAATTTCCGGTGCATCACACATGAATGCCTTTCGACGCTTTCGACAAGCATAATGATCTTTTCCGCTGTCTTCGGTGCTGTGCAAGAAGTTACAAGTTTGAAGAAACACCAAAACCCAAGTGTTTTGGCCTCCGGGCCGGGCCGTACGGCCACTCTAAACCAGAGGTGACGTGTGTGCACATGCCCTGGCGAGCGAGATCATTTCCAAACGCTCCGAGGACACCACCGCACTTCACCTCGCCGACCGGACAAATCGGATCTTGAGGCCGAAAGGCTCCGGCGCAGCCAGAAACGGCACCGAGGTAGTACTCCTGAGCTGCTCGTTCAGCGTTGCCATGCAGTGCTCGGAGTTCTCGGCGTCGTTCGTGCTTGCACCAAAGTCTTTAGGGACTCCCTCGGACGCACAAGCCGTACTTCGCAAGGCTTGGACGGGTGCCACCCTCACCGGGCAGCTCAGCTATATCCTGCTCACTTATCATGGCAATAAAAGCTTGCGCTTCTTCTCGAGAGAAAATGCAGGCAACCACACGGGATTGCCATGTTCTCAGCTGTTCACTCGCTCCCGCAATGAACACCTTCCCATAATCCTCCCCATTCCAAAATGCGATGCGACCTTCGTTTACATGGGCTGAATGAATGCTCATTCGCCGTCTCGATCCACCGCGATTTGAATGCGACGCGCATCCTTAGCGCATTATGATGTTTCCATGACCGCATTGAATGCAACAAGTTGTGGCAAGTCAAACTGAGGCATACATATTCTGCAGCATCTGTTTAGGTCGTCTTGTTCTTTGCCAATGATGGAACCTAAGGCACCAACCATCTGCGGGAACTTTTGAAGCAGTAGCTTTACGGGCAACACTTCACAGGGATTTCAACCTTGTCTTATGTCGTTGCCACTCCTGGTGTGAGGCCAGGGAAGCTGGGTTTTCTCGTCGACTGCACTGGCATCTTGCCAGTAATGACGCGACAAAAGGAGAATCTTCCATGTCATCTGCTTGAAAGCCTAGTTTTCAAACATTACTCGCGTTATACGAAATCCCACTTTGGCAGTGTCCACCTGCTACGCATAATGTTGGATGGTTTTAAAAACTTCCACCGCGCTTGCCCACTTACTTCACAGATCACTACTGGTGGCAGTCGTCAGCGGCTTGCGTGATGCCAACCACAACGGCTATAAGAACTAACCACATTGCACTTTCGTCCTCGGGTATGCGACAGCGCCATTTCATCCGCATTGCGCTATCATGCTACAGCTATCGCTTTCATTTCTTCGCAAGTTGTGGGCAAAAAATACTAACTTTTTTATGCCGCGCATACTAATTTTTAGTGCGATTTGAGAATATTTTGCATTACTGCACTTGCCGAGTTCCAATTTGAGCAGACTTTACGTAATAGTGTTGACTCATGTTAGGCTCCTGGGGGCAAACAACAAATTCGGGCATCTGGCACACCCAAGTGAAGGATTGAGGATTCGTTTCAACCATCTGGGGACCTTTCAACCTGAAACCGAAATCTCGGTTTTGGCCCAATGAAAGGCAAAGGGCTCATTCGCACAGCACCGTTTGGTTATGTTGCATTGTGTTACGATAGCTTATATCAAGAATCACAGGTAAATCTGTGTTTTGTATGAACCATGGCAGCCAGTTCAAAGAGTAGCTGTGCACGCAACATTCGAATCACGGATGTCCCAGTGACTGATAATGAAACATAAGAAAATGTAAACAAATGCTCCTGTGTGAATGGGCCTTGTGGAGAGGGCTCGTTGCACACTTTCCACAGGCAGCCACCTCCAGACTACAGACACCTTGGCAGGGATTCGAGCCCGGCAACTTAAGATCCGTAGGCCAGCACTTTGCCTCGGAGCCAGTGAGTCAGCCGGCTCCTGGGACTAAAAAAGCACATTTTAGCTCACCTGCATGACTGTTCTGCCCGCCGTCTTCTTCTGTACAAGAAAAAGCCATAAACAATTGGATTAGTAATTTCAACAATTAATACACAACTCAGAACCACCAGGTTCCTGGTTTCATGATGTTTATTCGGTTAAGGCTGCTTACTGAGTAATTAAACTAAACATGACATGATTGCAGCAACTACTCATCATCAATGCTGAATAATTAAATTAAATGTCGATATGGTTACTGCTACTACTTATGATCAATGCTGAATACTTAATGTTGACGTGATTGCAGATACTACTGATCATCGATAGCGTCCAGGTAACATGAAATTTTATTATTCTCTCTCAGAAGGTGCGACAAAAAAGCAATTGCAAAGATTATGGAATTGCTGTACTAATACTTTAGTATGGGTTCATTCATATATTTCTAAATTCGGGCGTTTCTCACTACCTGTGCTTGGCAAGCGCGGAGTTGTAGCAGGCGCCTGTCAGCAGCTTCAAGATCTCCCCCTTCTCTTGGGTAGAACATTCCAGGGGGGCTGGCAGCATTCTTACATGACAAAATGCCTTCACGGGCACAGGCTCCCCGTACAGTGCCTTTCCAGGCGCCTTCCTCCACGAGCACTCTTTATCAGTGCAGCTCAAGTCCTCGAGAGCATGAATTCCCGTCCTGTAAAATGAAACCGAAACCATAAGTTTGCATATCTTTCCGGTGAACGGCGAAGTTCCTATTTCGCGTTTTGATATGTGCATTACGCCGTATATTTTCTCAGATTTTCCACCGTGCCAGAAAAAATTGTGCCAGATTGAGAAACAACGATCGGATCGACGTATCATGCGCGTAAAAAAATCTGGCATACAGAACTCCGGGAGGCACTCAATCACGGCGCATTTTGGAGCGTGTTTCAGCCACCGCCACAGAAACTATCGTGCTTCAATGCGCGACATCAAAGTGTACAGCGGCTATTAGTACTCGGCGTGCCTGTATCCATATATGAGCGAGTGACGAACACAGATCCAGCAAGACGATCTCAGACCCTCGCTGCCGTACCTCAGTACAAAGTCCCATAAATAGGTACATACCTGTTGCAGTGTAGGAGGACGGCGACTACGTGCTTGCAGCACTCGGAAGGTCCCGCCACGCACGAGCAGGATGCGCTTCCCACACGAAACTTAAAAGCATCGTCTCCGGCAACGAGTTTCACGTGGATTTCGTGCGGGTCTCCTCGGACGCTACTCGTCGCGAGACACAGGGCGAGTATGTCCGCACTGTTCTCGGTTGACGCGGTTTTTCCACACAGGAAAAGGTGTTTTGCCTGGAGCAAAAGGTCCGCTTCCTCGTAACATCGGGAATAAAGGGTCGCGTTTGCGAAAGCTAGGATACTTGTTATTAGGAGGGATCTCCCAGTACCTCCGACCCTCACTAACTCAGCCATCTTGAAAACTGCAGTGGCGCCCCCTATAGACAGTTGGATTCGCGAATAGGGTATGAATTATTATCCTTCCCTGTACTCTCGCTGCGACGAACAGTCCGATAAACGAGTCACCCTATAACAAAGATGGGGGTCCCGAAAATCTCCTAAACTCCTGTTTGTTCTCAGAGACACATCCGTGTGTAAGAAAAACCACGGCCCTCTCCACGAAGCTTATACGGACATTCTTGATAAATAGCGTTGACTTGAGGTTGAACTTTGCATTTGCTTTGTAAACACAAGCGTGACGTCACGTGCGCATCCCACGCGACCCGACTGAAGTCTGAACTGGTGTACTATGTGTGGACAATGGGGCATTATTTTGACTTCCCGGCCGCGACGACCTTGGCGAGGGAGGACAGATGGGGTTCCCGAAAACTCCTAGAATCGTGGTTTGTTCGCAGGGACATACACATCCGTGTGTAACAAAAAACGCGGCCCTCTCCACGAAGCTTACACGGGCATTGTTGTGTAACTACTGAAGATGCCTCCCGCAAGGGAGGCGAAACGCCTAATGAAATTGTTTTTTCCTGTTCTGTGAAGTCGGTGCTTTTACTTTAATTATGTTACCAGTCGGCCTGTGTGACCAGTGCTCATTTGAAGAATCACCTTTGTCTTTCCTGAACCCTAACAAAAAACACCCTCATAATATTTTTTTTACTGTTCGGCTACGTTGGCATAGCCTATAATCGACATAATTTTTGCGAAAGCCTACTTTTATATTATAATTATCTGTAACCATTTCTAATTGAAGAAGTGACAAGTATAATAATTATATTATGATTTCATATCAGAATTCGACGAACCGGGAGATGCGAAATTCGGTGAAACAGCTTTTCAAAAAAATATCCGGTGCCCGAAACTTGCTCATATTAAAATGTCTAACATGTGTATGTGTTCTAACACAGAAGATGAGTGCAATGTGGAAACTGAATGGCCTCACAGACAATTGTCAACGAGTTGGATTTTTTTATGAATTATCCTTTGTCGAGTCATCCTACTACCGATTGGCCTCTTCAATCAATTGCCCGTCGACAAATATTGTAGTTGGTTTATTTGCCATCTGCCATAAGGGGAGAGTCTGGGGCTCGTCAAGCCGACATCTGCGAGCATTTTCATCACGCCTCCAGCGCCTGTACCGACTGACGCCGACGAGTTGGCCTAGAAATAAATACCCACGGACTATTCTATAGCTGCTAAATATCTCTACGCGAGCATGATTTGTTTTCAAAGGGGCACCCGCCTGTCGGTGCTTCTTTGAATTATACATACGTCACGGTCAAAACGTTCCGCAGCTAACGAGTGAAGGCAGACCAACCTATTTTGTCCAATTGTCCGTGTATGGGAGATGAGAATGCCACTGCGTCAAAGACAAGACGTGTGCGAGCGTTGCTAAAAATAGAGACCACTATCGATGTTTTAGTATACATGGTTTCATTCTTAGTCAGAGCGCAAACAGAGGTTAGATGTCACGAAAACACATACACAGAGACAAAAAGCACTTTATCACGGCGCATTGTATGAGTTGTTATATTAGTGGGTGGAATCACCCAAACAAAGATAGTAAACGCCGTGGTGTTTAGGTGTTGAGCCGTTGGTGATGCTTGATCGGCGCAATGTGACATCCCCAACAAATGGCATTGATAGCACATTCATTGTCAACACCGCGTGGCCGAACCGTGTTGACATGAGCCGGTAACCGTTATTTTTTTCCGGTTCAGTTCCGGTTCGGGTTCATCGCGATAACAATATAACGGTTCGGGTTCGGGTTCAGTTCCGGAAAAAATACCGGTTCGGTTCCGGTTTTCGGTTCGGTTCAGTTCCGGTTCGACACCCTGATATATATATATATATATATATATATATATATATACAAAGGCAGAAATGCGTACTGTCGGAGTTACTAATTCGAAGTTTACTACGACGTTTCGAGCGGGGACCACTCTTCATCACGTAATGAAGAACGTTCCCCGCTCGAAACGTCGGAATAAACTTCGAATTAGTAACTCCGACAGTACGCATTTTTGACTTTATATATATATATATATATATATACATTTTACTAGTACAATGTCTGGACATTTACACTTACCAAGTAACCATTTTCAGCTGTGATTTGAGACTGTGTTGCGCTTATCCCGCTCTTATTTATTTATTTTTTGTTTCTCCCGTTTCTGGCCTTTTTAGTATAGGCTTCCACCAGCTCGCTTGCGCGTCAACTCTAATTTCAAGTGAAACAAGTTTGTAAATTAGGGTGACACTATATAGGTTTGAAATCCTATACCAATTTTATTGCCATTTGGTGGGCCACGTACAAATTTTGAAATATATCTTTTCATCCAAATAATCGATTAGTAAATCGAATAGCGATTCGGACGAATTTACTACGACGGGAAGAACGAATTTGCAAATCTCATGGCAATTAGTAAATTTCAGCCATCCTTGGTTTCCGATTGGCCGCGCTCAGTAGCGGCTCCCTCCGCACAGAGTAGCCTCGAGTCAGAATTCGCGGAGTCTCTACTGACCGGCCAAAAAAGTGCGGCGCTTCAACTGCTCCCGCCCAGACGACTTGATGTATTTGTATACGCCCATGACATCGGCCGCGATCGGCGATTGAGGTTCCGTTAGCCGACGCAAGCGTCAGCGGACGTCTCACATTTCCATACTCTCATTTAGCTACAGAAACAAAAACAACAAAAAAATCATCCAGTTCATGTTCACTATGTTCACCACTGACAAGATAGTCGGTAGTCGACGAGTTTCCGTGCAAAGCCGATCAAAACGAGGCAGCAGATCAACGTTTACCTCACTTCCTTTTACGGCTGCCATCAGGAAAGATCTGGCTTGTCGCGTTCCCTCAACGTCACTCCGAATATTGTTTGTGCCCCGCGCACCAACCTCTTGTAGCAATCTCTTTATTGTCCCCATGTGATTTCGTTTTTATGTTCTCACTGGTGTTTGATCATTATTCGGTCATTGAAATAGTTTTTGCTGCCGACCCTACCATTATTTTTACCCTCTCGCAGCAAAGGAATATTATGCCGGCATTACATACGAAATAAGAATGTAGACACTCCGTCCCATATCTCAAATTACATCACAATGTGTTTACACAACTGTAGTGCAGAGGTACGATGAGCAGGGTCTGAGAAAATATTAGTTTCAGTATTTTCAAAAGAGCGACGAAACAAAATAAAGAAAGGACCGCCAATCGGCAGCGCGTGCAAGCATAGGCAGTGGTGACAGGAAGCGCGAGGTGTGTCTTTCGTACGGCCGGCATCCAGGGGCCGCTCAGATGTACTATACTGTTACGCTCATGAACTCACGCACTGTCCGAAGATGTACTCTTTTTTACTCGTAGGATTGCAACGCTGCGGAATGTAGGCGTGTGATCTCAGAAAGCGCGTCCTACCATTTCTACGCGCGAGTGCTCCTGCTACCCAAGCATTGTATACAGTTACGTCCTCGCGCCCGTGCCTTGGCCAGCCCCGTACACAACTTATGCAGTATCGAAAAAAGATTAGTTCAAAATTGACGGTCCCACTTTTCCATACCGCTTCAAAACCCCATCTTGCTCAAATCACTTGGCAGCCGGACAATATTGGCAGGGGGCCTCAAGTTGGGGATTATCCGGTACATTGTCCTCCCAACAATTAACGTGGGCGCGACGCGCTAGAGGGTGAACACGTGAAAGGAGGGGCGTAAGAATGGAGAAGGAAACTCAAGGTCGCAAGCGACGGGAAAAAGGGTTTCGAAATTGGCGCGCAGGTTTTTCAGCATTTGCTCACACGGACAGCCAACGCCGCCCTGGTGGTTCAACTAATGTTTTGTTCAAGATGGCCGCCGTGGTACCGCAGCCTTAAACTAAGTCATGGGAAAATATAATATCAAAAAATAAGCTCAGCATTTTGGGAATGTTCAGAAGATAAATGTGACCAGTCAATATTTGGGAGATTGAAATCACCAACCACAAGAAACCTAGAGTTACGATGAGCAGACATGTGGTTCTATAGTTTACACAAAAAATCAAGGGGGGAATTCGGAGGCCTGTAGACAGCGTATAAAATAAGTGTTTCCCCAACAGTTCACTTTCAAACATAAACTCTCGTGATCGTCAATTTGGTTCAAAAGTACTGCACCAATGCCATTCTTAAGTATAACCACGTCACCACCCCCACGGGAAAGACGGTCTCTGCGGAACTGTTTGTAGGAATCGGATACGATGCTATAGTCGACAATGCTGTCATGAAGCTAGGTTTCAGTAATAACTGCTATTTGGGGGTCGTGGGTGAGCAATAAAAATTCAAGCTGCTCCACTTTGTTTACTATACTTTGGGCATTTAAATTAAGAAGCCGTAGTTGCTTTCTTACAACACTGGCTTCTCGTCATTCAACGGGTTCAGGTTGTATGAAAGAAGGGAGTTTCACCCGCTCATTGGTCAATTCATCCCACACGTAGGATTCATTGTTTACCCAAAGTTTATCGTTCATGAGCGATACTCTTTTTCCCGCAGTCTTGTCAGCTTTGCATTTCGGCGGCCGCTTCTCCCGGCTATCTGCCAGTCTTCGTCAGTATATACGAGGCTATGGCTAAATAAACAGCAAAGATAAGAAGGCTACGTCCCCAAACGCATGACTTGATTATTTCGGATACACGCGAACTCCATATCAGACACCTCAAGCGAAGGAGCGCTGACACAGACATGGTTGCCATGCGATTTCACAAGGAAGGCTTGACAGGGAGTGTCCAGTAGCGGAGGAGTGCTCTCTTATTCTGCCATTGATGCACCTCCCCGTCTGGCCTACTTATATCCTCCAAGGTATGTATCCTCTCACAGAGCAGGGGAATTTCATACATCATATCAGTGGCACATTCGGGAAACTGAGTTGCGTGGCGCTTTCTGAGTATTTCTTCTGTCGCTATCGGCTCATTCGAGCTTCCTTTTATACAGGTTGACTATACC